GGTCTACTGATGCCTCGCCTACATCAACACAAGAAGATCATGGGAGCAGTGCAACGCGCCAGTGCGGCCAGTGTGAATCTGTGAACCCTCCAATCAAGTCGGTTGACATTGTAGCAGCTAGACGATCGCGACGAAATTGGTAAATTTTGTATTTGTTTTCAGGACAAGGCATGATCTTTCGCCATGGAATGAAGACAGGATAGGGTTGCTTCGTTGGCTGGCATCGTGCATGTTATATGATCCAACAAGCTCCCCAGAGAATAAAAGTGTAGATGGAGATGCCTACACTAAATCACATCATTACTAACCAAACATCTTCAAAACGACGTGCACGCTCTTCACGAAGATATTATCTCCGAATTTACCCTCCAGGCTGCATATGAATAATGCGCCAAGAAAAGCGGAAAAAAGATATTCGTCGAGCCAAGCTCGATTTGCTTCGTACTCAAGCTCAACTCGATGAGGGGGCATTTGTTCGACGAGTTTTTATACACTATGGCATAAAATAATAATTTTTAATGAGTTTTTAGGGCAGGCTATATATGGAGGCAGGTTTGAACCGGAGCATGTATATACATATGTCCGTACATACGCGCTGGTGTACTGGTGCATGATAAAACTATGTACGTGCATATGGCCATGGATGTGTACACGCAATGCAAAGAGACCAAATACTAGTACTTCCATATTGCATGCGTTCAGAGCCAAGTTTAACATGCCATGCACGTAACTGGGTATGTATAAATACGCAAGCTTGCCGGCGTACATATCCAAATACTCATGCGTACATATTCAGGTATCTGCGGCCGGCGGCAAGCATGGGCGTATACATACGCAAATACCTGGTGCAACCCGACCAGCAGATGGATGGCATGGCCGGACGCTTACGTACAATCGGTAAGTTACAAAATTTTAGAAACAAAAGCAACCGTCTTGGTCTTCGATCATCTTGAAAAGGCATGCGTGCATAAACAAGGGATGTAGCAATTTATTTATTTTTCTTTGTTTGCGCAGGCATGCAAGCGTATTAGAAAAGAAGAGGTAAGATGGAAAGGAGACTTAAGATAGAATGTTTGGATCTTGCCGACCAAGCAAGCGGGCTTGCGCTCAATCGAGACGGCCTACGACCACCTCTATATAAAGGAGCACACACGCACCAAGGGAGGAGAGGAAACTCAGGAAGGTCACCACATCCGCGGCACGCAGTGGGGCACAACCACAGGCGGTGGCGTGCTTGCCGGGCAGCACGCACACAGCCTGGCTTTGTCCGGCGATGGCAGCGTACGCGCGCCAAGGCACGCGGACGCACGTCAGCCACGGCGGAGCATCCACGAAGGAACACATCCATGAGGAGGTGTGCCATGACGATCGGACGATGTAGCTTCCTCTACGGTACATGTGTATCGTTTCTCTATTTCAGGTACAGGTGCAACGACGCAACACAAGAACGGGAGCACGGTATCTCGCCGAGCCCTGGCGGTAGCGTCGAGGAGAAAGGACGCACCCATGGCGGCAGCGACGAGGCAGCCGTGATGTACTGACTAGAGGGACCAGATCAAGATATCTCATGCAGAAGAGAAGAACTCACGTTGCGGACGTGCCGACGGTGACGGCAGTGGCAGCATACACACTCAGAAGAAAGACACATCCAGCCGAGAGAGATGCGCCGCGGCTGCGCTCGCGGCGAGAGGACGCGGTGGCGACAGCGTACCCGTTCGAGCTCGAAGATGTGGTGACGACGACAACAACACACCCGAGACTGCAGGCATGCGGTGCATGCATGTGCCATCGCCAACATGCCCTCTTCGTTCCTTTTCTATGGTCTTTTTCTTACCAGGTTCATGGTGAAGGAACGACACCGTCGCAGGATGAACCACCGTTAATTTGTTCGCCTCCGGAGAAGAGACCGAGGCGGCTGCGTCCAGAAGAACACGATGTGACTCCACAGAGGCAGTGGATGAAATCAGAGGAGCGCAGCGTCGCCCTCAGACACACACCTATGGACGGCGAGGAAGCAGCCCATCCTCTTTTTCATGTACAGGTGCAACGGAGAGAGCGGACGACACATCCCAACAGCGCTCTTCTCATACCAGGAGGAATGGAGGTGGCAGACAATGCGTCTAGAGAAGAAGGCCGTGGATGAAGCGAAGCTCGTCTTCTACCAAGTGCAATGGAGGCGGTGGATGGCGCGCCCAACGGAGATGACTCGGGAGCAGCCTGAGCTCGCCAACAACATAGCCCAGCCTCTAGCTCCTTTGGAGGTCTACCATGTCAGCGGCGTACAGGACCACGACGAACAGGTTCATGGTGAACGGGACACCGGCGTACAGGTTTTACACCATGCTTCTAGGAGGAGACGGCGTGGCGGAACCGAAGCTCGCAACGACGTAGCCCAAGTCAAGTCCATGGCGAATAGGTCTCTCGGGTGCACAAGTCTATGGCGTCCCAATCGCGGTGGGGCGCTTTGGTTTCCAGTGGAGACGACGTGGTCGAACCGGAGCTCACTACGATGTAGCCCGAGACAAGTCCATTGTGAGCATGTCTCTCTGATGCACAGGTCCATGGCGCTCCGACCGCGGTGTACAGATCTGGCGCTTTGGTTTCCGGTGGAGACGACGCGGTCGAACCGGAGCTCGCGACGACGTAGCCCGCGACAAGTCCATGGCAAACAGGTCTCTCCGGTGCACAGGTCCTCGGCGAACAGGTCATCGGTGCACAGGTCCATGGCGCCCCGAACAGGTCATGTGCGTTGCTTCCCGGAGGAGACGACATGGCGGAGCCGGAGCTCGCAACGACGTAGCCTGAGACAAGTCCATGATGAACAGGTCTCTCCGGTGCAGAGGTCTACGACGTTTCGATCATGGTGCACAAGTCTGGTGTCTTGCTTCCCGAAGGAGACGACGTGGCGGAACCGGTGCTCACGACGATGCAGCCCGAGACCAGTCTCACCTATGAAAGCGCACCCACCATGGCGAACAGGTCCTTGGCGTACAGGTCTCGGCGTGCTACTTGTCTCGGTAAACCACCGAATACGGCGTTTAGTCGAGACGAGGCACCCACCATGGCGGACAGGTCCTCGACATATAGGTCTCGATGTACAGGTCCATGGCGTCCCCGGCATACGGGTCCCCTTTCGGTGTAGCACCCACCCAAGGCAATAAAACCACTACAACATCTCCTCACGAGTTCGTCGGGCGGCGTCCTTGACAAAACAGACTGCCATAGACTTGGCGTACAATCAAGTGAGACGCACCCATCACGGCGCACAGGTCATTGGTGAACAGGTCCCGGCGTACAGGCCCACGGCGTCGCCGATGTACAGGTCCCCTTTCTATGGCCATGTGAGGTGGCATCCTTTGCCTTGGCGGACCGCCGTAAACTCGGCGTCCAGCCGAGACAAGGTGCCAATCACATCGGCATTGCCGATACGAGTGAGCGTTGGTTTTACACCAACGCCGGTCTCCATAAGAATACTCCCGCGAGGCAACCCCTTGCATACACGACGAAGCCGCTACGTCGTCAAGAAGTCCGAGCTGTGCAGGACCCATGCAACTTCAACACCGACTAAATCAACATTGTCAAGATCGACGAGGCGCGACGGCGAGGGCGAACGTGGCCAGCACGAAGCCATGTTTTGAGCGGCACGTGTACCGACGAGGACACGGGCTTTGCCACCGCCCACACCACACACACACACTATCATCATCATGCATGGAGAACGCGAAGCGAAGACGACGAAGACGACCACACGGCTTAATCGGAGGTATCTCGCGGAGCAACCCGCGGGAGTAATTAACCGGGAGCTTTTCGAGGCCCCGGGAACCAGGAGACCGCACATCGTCATAGTCAGGCAGGCGGCGCTAGTAGGCCACGGAGCGCGACCATATTTTATGGGATCTTGTAATTTTGTTCATCCAAAGAGATAAATGAAATACTTGTTTCCTGTATCACTTTTCTTTGTGTACTACGGTACACTGGCACGTCCTCATTTTTTCTTTTTCCCCGGCACATGAGAGAAATACATACTCCTTCTCTTCCCTTCTCCCGGAGTGCTATAAGATTTTTCTCGTGTCAAACACCTATTTATTCCATGATACTTGTTACGTCTCATATTGTATTGTTTTACATGCTTGTGTGCTATATAAATCATGTACATCTTGTAATGTAAGGTGAAGCATAATGGTATTCGTTTGATCATAATTATGTTGTGATTCATTTTGATGCTTTGTGGGATAAGGTCATGTTGTTGTTGCAGACATTTGTTGTGTTTAATTTATTTTTTCAAAAGCATAACAAATAGTCAAATTAGCGGAAACATAACCCAGTTCAGCATCATATGTAATTATCCATCTTGACGAACTCGCAATGTTATGCTAGCTAGCATTAACGATCAAATATGTGACACTTGAATTAAATGTTATGCAATGAATAATAAATTTGTTAACAGATCCGTAAGACAATTAGGTCACATAATATTGCACAATATTATAGAGCTAATGCAGAACAGGCTCGCTAATCTTTGAGTTACTGTTTACCTCATGTGGCAAGTATTATTGGTTGGCAGGTACTTTTTAGCTTTTCTCAAGCTATATTGTCAACTTAAAACCAGGACGCTACTTGAGAAAGTTGTTTACGCCAACGCGACTGGTAATTTTCAGGCTTCAGCGGATCAAACCGTTCGTGCTGGCGTCCCTCCAGGCAGGACAGATGACCGAAACCCGCCCCAAATCAAAAGCGTTGGGGGCAAGATTATATAAGTGCAAATGTCGCGCCTTCGGCACGACTGCATGAGACCAGAAGTGCAAATAAGAGTTTTCAGGGCTAGCTGAGTACTTCAGTACAAAATACCATTTCTTTACAACATCTCCGAAATCTACCAAGATTCCTGACTTTTCAGGAAACAAATCGGTACAGTGTTGGGAGAAAAGATATGAGAAGGTGAATACTGCAAGTGGAATCATCGACACAAAATAATACATTCAGACGATACAATACATCTCTCAGCAGGGTCTTCTTTTGTCCACTTTCAAATGATGGATGTTGAACCATCTCTTCCTGCGAAGACGCTCTTTAGGTTTCTTTTCTTTTTTATTAGGGCCCTCTTCATCGCTCACTGATGCCTCCATCGTCGTCGGACTCTTAGATTTCTTCTCTTTTCTTACACTTTGGTCATCGTCACTTTTGGACCCTTTAGAGGATGTTTTCCCTTTGCTGTCACTGGAACTCCGCTTTAGAGTTGGGCTGTTGGTGTAGGATGCATGAATGGCATTCCTTTCGTTGAGAAGCTCATCGATCTATGCAAGAACATGATGTGAGAACAAGGCAAGGAACAAAAATAGATGTTCCACAAATACACGTACCGTTTGCATTTCTTGAGCATATCTGCTGGTCATTTCGGTGAACTTTGCTAAAACCTGCCAATTCCAACTCTTAATAATGATGTGTTTTCACTTAAAAGGCTGTTTCCGTAGAGAATCTGCAAAAGGTAGGGCATACCTCTCTATACTCTGACTCAAATTTAGACAGCTCGGACCGTTTTGCAAGTATCTTTGCCTCCACGCTTCGTAGCTTCTCCTTTTCGGTGGAAAAGGGTTCAGCACATACAACCTCTAAGGTATAGGTTGCACTTTTGAAGAAATTATCACCTAATGGACCAAATGCTTTATATAAGCCTGTACATGTTTGCCATGGATAATTTTACAGGAAGTAACATAAAAGTGGCATACCATAAACAGCAAAATAATGGGTCCCTTCTTTCAGTTCATTAACTTCGCATGGTTGAAAACCATCCAATCTCTTAAAGAATGCACTATCGGGATCTTTTGCAGCAGCAGCCTGGAAATGATTGGAGCTTGTCAAGAGGCAACCCAACAAAGAAATAAAAGGATAGACAACAAGACACTATTTGTATACTCACTGAATTATTATGTTCAAAACGGTACACAGGAAAGCCAAGAAAGAACATCCCAGCAGAAGTAACTTTCCCGGTCTTTCCACTATCTTCCTGCAAGACTGGTAGACGTCAGCTGACATAATGCTCAAAGCCTCAAAAACTAGCGCACTGAAAATTATAAAATGGACTAACACAAGCATACTACCAAGGCATTATGCAATCCAAATTTGACTACTCCAATCACACTAGAAGATCTGGTTAGGCCTGAGAAAGCAACATGTGCGTAAATGCCTGGATTAACCAAGCTTCTGGATGGGGGATAGGATCACAAAAAGACTTTGTTAAGGTTTAGGCCATTCACAGAACGCAGCTTCTCAGTAGGATTATGTTGTAAGATTATGCTGGTGTCCCTACAGAGTACAGACATACAGTCCATATCTAAACTTGAGATGATGTTGGCGGACATATCTGACATTTACATGAATTAGCAAAATGCAATACTTTAAGTTCCCTAATTATACCGAGGTGAGGGAAGTTCCAACCATATCAACAAAGTAGAGACTCTGGGCTTCACAAGCTCCAATTATTACAATGCACAAGCTCAAGTTCAAAAATTCACACAAGGAAACATTAACACAAGGAGGGTTGTAACGAAACATAGTTGTATGCAATAAATGTCAGATAGTCTTCTGGACTATTTGACACACATGGAATAATGCACCGACACCCATGATTAGAATGTCTTCTGGACTATTTGACACACCCTTTTCAGTAAGAAGCGGAGATTTAGGGAAGATAAAAAGCTGATGGCAAGAAACAAATCATGCATTTTGACAATTCATGCTTGGTAAGGAAAAACTAGTTACAAAGAGAAGCAATGTTCTTATTTGGTAAGGCCTAAAGCGAGCACCCAAAGCCTTAACGCCTAAGCGATAACTAAGTAAGGCGGGCAAAATTGTGAGGAGCTGCCAGCGTGCGCGTGCTTTGCCGCCTAAGCGTCCAAGGCAGGACGTCTTAAAAATAGTGAATAGAAGAAAATGCTGGAAATTACGTTTGTTTGGACAAAAAAATGATAAGCCAGATAAACATACCTGTAAAGCAAGGCTTAACCCACCGTTTTCTTCAGGTTCAAAATAAAGCAACTGAAAGTAAAAAAGACCTGCCTTAGAAAAAAGTACTTGTTCATGGGAGGAGACCCGAAAATTTGCCAAACTTACAGTGCAATAATACAAAATACTATGTACTGTGTACTTGATTATTTGAAACGTGATTATTCAGTGTCATGATAATCTCAAGAGAAACGACCAGTTATATGTCTTCTTGAGATGGTGCACATATCAGCAGTGGCGGAGCTACCACAAAAAAACTGGGCGGGCCAGATAGTACAAACTGTGCTACCATGTTAAAAATCAGTACATTATTGTAGGCTGGACTTCATGTAAAATTATTTTTGCTTTAACCCTGGGCAGGCCATGGCCCTTTTGGCCTTGCCAGTGCATATCAGTATATCACCACAAATTTCTTAACACTCAGAGTGCAAAAGTTAACCAGAAAAGAACAGATAAGTTAGTTGACTTATCCGAGTGCAATAATACAAGTAACAGATGGCGAAGCTTCTCAGCCAAAGTAAGGTAATGGAGTAGTTAAGTTATCAAATGAACGTGACAGATAGATGCTAACGACGAGTTTGCAACTAACCTTGAATTTACTTTTAGCAGTTGAACGAACCCTACACACTAACCCCAATTTGGCTTCTTCTTCCGTTATGTCCACTGAATAAAAATGAGCTGATTGTTTTTCCACCTGCCAATGTGTTCAATCTAAAATATTACTCACTCGACAAAAAGAATGCATGGAGATGAAACGAAGGCGGGTAGTTGCCAACCTTCCTGCATACGGATTTGCCCAGATGAAGCTGAGCAATCTCCACCGAGCCATTCAATGCCTCCTCTAAAACTGTTGCCGAAACTGTGGTTTTGATTGGTACTCCTAGCTTGCTGCACAAACACAACTATCACTACATAACCTCATAACCAGACAAATATTAGAGAATAAAACAGCGTATTCTGAACAAGTTACCTAAACAGGGCAGCAAACATTGTATTTACAGTGTTGAGACTTGATAGGTCCAGCTCTAATTCATGACTATCTGCTTCGATGGCCTGCATGGCAACAAAAGCATTAGTCACATGAGAAACAAGCAACTCAAACTACTCAAATCAAGCCATGTATCACCTCGAATCCAGAGGAATCATACTGCCGCCTTTTTTCAGGATCTGAGAGGATGTTGTAAGAGAATGTGGCTTCTTGGAACTTCTCAGAGGCAACCGGGTCGTCTGCATTCTTATCTGGATGGTACCTTCAGGGCAAGCATTAACAGAAAATTACTCAGGCCGCTGCATTATTGCCCTTCGTCAAACTATTACTACTAAACAAGCTAGCTGAGAGCTACTGAATTATAAAGACATCCTGGTCTGGTCTTAACAAGCGATTAAAAAAGGTCCCAAGAAATTGTGTGTGTCGTTGTGAGAAGCGGCAAATTCATCCGAAATTAGCTAACGTTCCCATAGCAGGAGCAAATTTGATATGAATTACGCTATACCCAGCACAAATTTTAGCAGTTGGTATCATCCTGGCTAGCTGGCTGACTCGTGAGGAGCACAACAAGAGCGCGAGGCCAAATCCTGGAGCTTGACTTACTTGAGGGCCATGCGGCGGAAGGCGCTCTTGATCTCCTGCTCCGTGGCATTGCGCCCCACCCCCAGCACCTCGTACGGGTCCCTCCTCTGCGCCGCGGCGCCGGCCGCCGACGCGGCCGAGTCCCCCTTGTTCTCCGACTTGAACGACCCAAACTTGGGGCCCGCCATGGACCCGCCTCCACACCCTACGAACAGGGAAACCCTAACCCCGGGCCCACACGGCAGCAGAAGCCGCAGCAGCTCGCTCAGATCTTACAGCAGCGGCGGCGGCGGCGAGGAGCGCGCGCGCCGACCACCCTCCGCGGCCGTCCGCAGCGGCGACGGCGGCTGGATGGAGCGCCGGAGGGGCAGGCCCTAGGGATTTCGCCGGCGGCGGGGGCTGGCCAGCTCCAGCAGCTGCTAATTTGGGACGGTGGCGAGGCGAGGCGAGGAGAGGAGCGGAGAAGGGATGGCGACGAGGCGAGGGCGAGGAGGGAGAGGCGATAGGGAGGGGCGAGGACGAATTATTTAGGGGCCGGCATGCGGGGCCCGTCGGGCAGTGGGCCGCCTTGCCTCGTCGGACCGGGGCCTTGCCGGCCGGGTTACCGTGTCCCGGTCTCGGTCGCGCTCCGGGTCCAACCGTTGGCGAGTCCGCGGAGCCGATTTGAATGGCTCGACGGACTTTCTGGACTGGCGTTCTGCCGTATCCTTGAGAGCTCCACCTCCAGCTTCCCCATCCGGCCTCCCTTCCCCTCGCCGCCGGCGGCCATGGTGGCCGGCGCTGGGTGGGATGGAGGTCTGGATCCTAGGTCTAGTAGTGTGTGAGTGTCTCTCTCTGGTAAATAAAGTGGAGCTGCGTTTTGGATCTTGTCTAGGTGGTTGTTCAACTCTCCCTTGGGGCCACGCTGGTGGCGAAAAGGCGGAGGCAAGGATGATCCTTGGCAGCGGATCCTTCGGCGGCTTCCCTCAGCCGGATCCATGGCGAAGCTTAGGCCCGTCCGGTTTCGTCCCCACTTCTCCCCCCTTTTTTTGCTGTAATAAATCCCAATATGGTGCGCCAGATGCTCTTCTTCCTCGATCTGTTCTTACCATCATGGTTGTGGGAAGAGAGATAGAGCAGCAGGAGATGTACATGCCTGCCACTTGCAGGAGGCCTCGTTGCTACCTTCCTCCACTTGATGCCGCCAAGGTGGTGGATGAAGAGGGGTGGGGAAGCACTGAGCTGAAGATTGATGGTCGGGTTCGAGCTCATCAGCAGAGGATTCTATGGTGGAGCTACGGCGCCTGCAGTCGGCTGCCGGTCTTCATCAACCCTCTGCTTCTTCTGGTCGAAGGGCGGCCAACCCCTTTCCTCCTGGCTTGCATGCCTTATGGGAGGCAGTTCCAGTTTTCGTTCAGAGGCTCTGGGATGCACGTGCTGCACCCATGGCGATCTCGTCGCCCCAAGTAGTTCGTCCCCGGCGACGGCGAGGTTCAATCTGAGCGAAGGCTGCCAAGGACCCGATTGCATTTTAATCTTTCAGTTAGGGGTTCTCCATGCAAAAGTCTGGGACTTCGTTGTAATCTTTCTTTTTCTTTCGGTCCTGATGTAAAGTGTGTTTTGAAGCTTATCTAATGTAAGTCTGGCCCTTCGGGGCACTTCCCTGTTCAAAAAAAAAGAATGGCTCGACGGGCCCGCGCACGGTGGGGCACACGCGTGAGTGACGGGGTTAAGTACCCCAAAGGTGACAGGTGTTGTTGTGCGTCCGGTGACAGGTGGGGCCGTGTGAGCGCATGCTTCGGGTCAGCTGACGCAGACTTTCGAAAAACGTTAAATCGTTTGACTTTTCACTTTCATTCACCCCAGAGGAAAAGTATCGGATACCTTGGGAAATATCACATCCAAAAGAAAAAAATTATAAACCTTGGGAAATTTAAGTTTGATTGAATTGCATGGAGCCTTCTTTTTTCCTAAGCGGCGGCTAGGGTATACATACAACTACCATCTAAGCAACACCGGTGAGCTCGTGGATTCACCTTCATTTTAATTGTCGTTCTGGCGTCCGGTGACGGGGAGGATAATTCTTTTTTCCTAAGCGGCGGCTAGGGTATACACCTCCCATTTAAGCAACACCAGTGAGCCCGTGGATTCGTCTCCTTTTGAATGTTGCTCCAGCGTCGGTGACACGGAGGAGAATTCCGGTGCCTCGGCGACTAGTAGTTTACGGTAGGGTTTTTCGTCCTCGCATGGGCAGCATTCTGACGGATGGCGGCGCTTCTTCTTCGAGTCGGTCTTCCAGGCTCCGATCTTTCTTGAATTTGTTTGTCTGGATGAAATCGACAAAGCTCCGTCGTAGATCTTTGAGGTAAGGGTTTTTCGTCGTGCATGTGCGATGGCGAGATCTGGTGTCAGCCGCTTCAAATCAAAAAAACAAAAACAAAAAGAAGTAATTACCCCGGCCTCTGTATCAATCGATGCATGCAGCCATATTATTAAATAAAAACGTAACAAGGTCATAAGGTCCAAAGAAGCTCATCAACTATACAGTAGTCGAAAGCAAATAAATCTGAAAAGCGCCACACCTGGTGATATAAAGCTAAAAAAAGTGCCACATCCGGTGATAAAATAATAAGCTATGATGCCTACACACCTAGGCTATTATTAGCCCGCCACCCAAATCGGCTGAAGATAGCCCGTGCTCCCGTCTCCCAACGGTTGCACCTAATAACCAAATGCACCCCACATGAGTGAGTAAAGACCACATACGAATTCAGGTTGTAGCTTTGTAGATAACCTGCAAAAAAAGGTGAATTGTGTCCCATTAAAAATCATATCATTTCTAGTGTTCCATGTAGCCCAAAATAATGCACATACTCATATCCGAATATGTTTAGCTAAATGTATGTCCATTCTATTAACCCATGTCCCAAATATCGTGTGTATACTCCTTGGAGGTTGAATGTTAAAGGCTATATGAATTGATTGACATAATAATTGTGCAAGAGGACATTCGAGAAAGAGGTGTTTAATCGTTTCATTTTGATCACAAAAACAGCACCTAGAGTTACCAACTCAATTCCTTTTTGCCAAGTTATTTTTGGTTAGAATAACCTCTTTATGGACAAACCACATAAATATTTTAATGCGAAGCGGGGCTTTAATCTTCTAAATGTGCAACGACCTCGACAATGGCCCGGAATCAATTAGGTCCGAATACATAGATTTCACTGAGAAGATTCCATTCGTAGTTAACTTCCAGTGAATTGTATCCGCCTGATCAGATAGGTGAACTTCTATCAACCTACGAACCAGATGCAACCAATCATTCCAATGTTCCCCTACTAGGGATCTCCTAAATTGGATATTAAGGGGTATCGCGTTTAATACTGTGGCAACATAATTCTCATTGCGTTGCACAATATTATATAAGGATGGATATTGCAAAGCCAAAAGTGTCTCCTCAAGCCATGTATCCTCCCAAAATCTAGTAGTATTATCATTACCAACTAGGAATTTCACTCTTTGGAAGAAAGTTGCTTTCGTCTTCATTAATCCCTTCCAGAAGGGTGAGTCCGTTGGCCTAACGGTGATTTGGTCCAAAGTCTTAGAGTGTAAGTATTTATTCCGCAAGATTTGTATCCACATACTCTCGGTCTCAGTAGATATTTTGTATAGCCACTTGCTAAGCAGACATCTATTTTTGACCTCTAAATTTTTTATCCCTAACCCGTCCTGGTCTTTTGGTCTGCAAATAATATCCCATCTAACCAACATGCACTTCTTCTTGGCCTCATCACTTTGCCAAAAGAATTGGGATCTATAAAAGTCAAGTCTTTTCCGTACCCTCAATTTAATGGTTCAATAACGATAATTACGGCTCCAGGGTGTTGGTCCTTAGGGGCACGTGCTCTGACAGGGGAGCGGTGACAACAACGCGTCGGCGCCTTGTTCAGGCGGCGATAATGGTCATTTGGTTGTCTAAGGGCCTCGATATAAGTTTTATTCTGTTTGGATACTTTGTACTTGTTTTTTTTGTAAATAGAGTCGGTTGTTTTTTTTTTTGCAAAAAGGAAATAAATGATAGCTCAAATTTGAGTCATATATAATGACACAACGAGATGGAAAATAAAGGATTGCTTGCAGACGTGCTTGCAGACGTACTGCAGCAGCTCATTTGTCTTGATAGTTGATACCATGCCCAACACTACAAGCAAAGGGCATATCCGATCATGCCATCATGCAAGATTAGCCAAAGTTGTCCTGTAAACTCTAAAAAGCGGTTATCTCCAGAAGAAAGGACAAGCAAATCCCGAGCTTGCCTCGCGGTTGTTCCGGCAAATACGATACTTGTTGCTACATAAACAACAAGGCTCCTATTACGTAGTAATTAGCTACGTAGACAGGTTCACAACGGCTTGTCGATGCAAACACATGCGACGACACGGCGATCAAGAGGGCCAACTGTAGCAGGCTCTACACCGGAGGAGGATCCAATCCGAGGTCCCACCGCCTACCTATGGAAATTGTCTGATTGCAACAAAGATGGATTAATCGGACACCAGATCGCGAATGATTGACCTCCGCCTGGGCCACGACCAGCGAGGACTGCGTTTGAACTTCGGCTCGCAGCACCGGCCCGGCCTCTCTGTACAAAAAAGACAACGGGCCGTTGGGAATCCCCGGGCTGTATATGCAGACCGGGTGGTGCGGGCTACGGCTAAGAAGTGCCGCGGGAGGGAAGAAAGAACGATGGGCATTTGGTAAAGCATTGTGTACCAGTATTTGTCAGCTTTGCCACCCCTAAAAAATTCGTCAGCTTTGCCTAGTGATCGGTTTGGGAAAAACTGGAGCCCGACCAAATGACTCCCAATTTTCTAAAGCTGCTAAATATTAATTGGCTTGCTAAAATTTAGTTGCAAACCAAGCATGCCCTAAAATCAAGGGAAATCCGTGTGTTTGAAATGGGGTGTTGATGGCAGGTTCAGTCCGGACGCGGTCGACTCCATGCACCATAAGTTAGGGAGGTGACACACCGTGAGGATCCGGCCCCTACACGTGGAGTTGCTGAGTGCAAACATGGTGAGTGTGGTGACCGACGCATCCTCAGGAGTCATGGTGCGTCAGGGCCTTGGAATTGCCTTGGAATTGCTCAACTTCATGTATCGTCGGACCTCCACCTGGTTCTATGAGAGCATCTCGCTGCGAAGGG